CTTAAATAAAATGACACAAACTCAACAAATGGATATTGCTTTGAGATTCTGGAATAATGATAGTAATCAAGTAGAAACACACTATTTTTCTTCTACTTTTCTTGGCCATGCTCGTGCTAAAGATTTATTAAGAGCTTTTAAGGAAGAAACTAAAAGATTTAAGTTTACAGAATTTGTTACAAGTATCTATGGACGGCCCCAACGTAAATTGGGCCTTTTTACTCGATCAACAAAATATTTAACAATTTTCAAATCAGGATGAAAATACAAAAAATATTTCAAAATATTTATTATTGAAAGTCAGGGAAAATTACAAAATTTTGTCAGTAAAATCAGGGAAATATCAGGAAATTTTAGGATGAAAAATTTGTGGCAACCCTGTAGTTTTTTTCTTTCTATTAATAGTCATTTTCAGTAAACAATTCTTAAAATTATAATATGATTGATCGCTTGGAATCTGAGTTTTCTTATTGCAAAATTGCTTGATACATATTTTCACAAAATTATCTCTATTCTGTAATGTTTCTTGCGCTGGATTGCAGCCTATTGACCATATCTTTTTTATATTATTTTTATTTATTATGACACTTGTGTATAAACACATAATTTATTATCTTTTCTATATACCTATTGTAATTTCAAAATTAACATTGTTTTTCTTATTTTGACTTCAGTTTTATTTTTTTAAATAAAAAACTCTGACTTTGATACAAGATGCATTCTATTTAAGACCCATTCTACTTAAATTATGCAGTGTATTAATTAGTATATCTAATATATTAGTTTTTAATTACTCAATGTTAAAATCTTGGCTTGTAGCTCTATTTTTATTTTGTTTAATTTTAAACTTTATTAAGAAGAAAACAGTTGTAAATAGAGAATTGTCATTAATTTTAAACTTTATTAGGAAGATAACAGTTGTGAATAGTTGCAACATTTTTTTTAGTAAGTTTATGTTTTCAATATAGCCTGCTGCCGAACGATTGATTTTGACTTATGGATCTATAAGTAAGAATCAATTCCTCAGTGAGCAGGTTGCATTACAAGACTCATTGAAAAAAAAAAAGTTTCAATTCTGTCCACAATTGTATAATACACAGGATACTTTTATTTTTTAGTATAAATTAACTGCATATTCGCTATATGCCGCGGTTAGTGTAGGCCTACAAACGCAAGATATAATTGAGTATTTAAAGAGATTGAGTAAGACTAGTATTCCTGATGGTATAATTGACTTTATCAAACTGTGTACATTGTCTTATGGAAAAGTGAGTAAACGATAATATTTTATAAATGTTTAATAATATCGAGAAATTAGCTTAATAAAATAGCACGTTTTACGTACAGGTTAAACTTGTTCTAAAACATAATAAATATTTCATTGAATCACCATTTCCTGAAGTGCTGCAACGATTACTAAAAGATCCAGTAATTCAAGAGTGTCGATTAAGAAAGCTTGTGGAAGATACAGAAACCGATGATATTGTCACAAATGTTCATGCGAAAATAAAAGTTTCACAGGTTTGTTGAAATATTCATCCCAATAATTTATCAAGTAATTTTGATAGTAAGACCAATGATTTGAGAAACAAGCCATAATAGAGAATCAAGCTGGATCTTGAGTGTTTCTACATATAATTATGTGTGAATTTATGTATGTACTACATATGTAGAATTTTAACTGCGCACGCTGAATTTTTTTTTAGACTTGAAACGCAAGCTCTACTAAACTAGTAATATCACGAGTTAAATTGACTAACAATTTTGATTAACAATTTAACAATTTTTTGATGCTTTTACGCATTTTAAATTGATCTTAATAATGTTGAATGACATATTAAAATCTGTAAATAATTAATTCTTTTGGTATCAGAATAGAGGTATTTTCAATTTAAATGAAGAAAGTTTTCAAGATTATGAAGATAATGAGATGAAATTGTAATAATTGTAAGTTATGGTTTAGTTTACACGTTGAAAAAAACTGCAATCGAAACGTATGTAATTTTAATTAAATGATTCAATTAACATTGTCATTAATATTAATTAATATAGAAAAATTAAAAAAAAAAATTTCTTAGTATAAGATCATTAACTTGTGATTGGTCGTAATTTAAATAGTGTATTTTAATTAATTTTTATTGCGAAAAATATTACTTTGGCCAGAAGACTAATGTTCCGATTTTGACTCCATAATCTAAAGGCTTAGGACGTTCACACAGAATGCGAAAGATCCGGGTTTGACTTTCGGCCGAGGTAATATTTTTCGCAATAAGAATTATTTACAGATTTTAATATATCATTCAACATTATTAAGATCGATCTAAAATGCGTAAAGAACATCAAAAAATAAAATTGTTAAAGTTAGTCAATTGTTAATCAATTTAACTCGTGATATTACTGACAATGAGTTTAGTACAGCTTGCATTTCAAATCTGAAAAAAATTCAGCATGTAGTTAAAAATCTACATACGCGTAAGTCCATATTCAGAACGCGTTTTTATTGGTCGCGTTCAGCAGACTCAATTGTTGCGGAGCGGATCCGTGAACGCTCGCTGCTATTGGATGATCTAAAAAAATATACCAATAGCAGTGAGCGCTCACGGATCCGCTCCGCAACAGTTGAGTCTGCTGAACGTGATCATTGATAAAAACACGTTTTTATCTCTGAAATTCAATAGTATGCATAACAAACTATAGCATGTTAGAACGCTAACATCGTTGTAAGCGCGTTATGAATACAGGTCGTAGTATATACAGTCTATCTAGTAAGAGCGTGACAGACCTATCTCAAAGAAAAATGACTTATTAGCTTTAAATTTATATTGATTGTATTCAGTAGGATTATGGCAAAAATGCGATTATATAATATTAATAAGGAGTCCAGTCACCAGCTGTGTCTATAATAGACCACTAAAGAAATCGCATATTCATGTAGCAAGACCTCCAGATTCGTCGAATTTCATTTTTTAAGTGCTTCGAAGTTAAGGTCGGTCTTCCACAAAGCTTCCTCTTGATGAGTGACCACACATTTTCAATGGGATTCGCATCGGGTGATTGTGAAGACCAGTGGAGTGTCTCGATGTCATTTCCCTCTTTGCAGGACGTGCAGAGCCGGCTTCGGTGTTTGGAGTCATTATCCTCCTGAAGTAACTAATCTTTATCTTTATTGATAAACCAGCATTGGGCAGACGGAATCAAAGCTTTTTGGTATATTTTTAACATTTTCTCAGCATTTAGGTTGTCAGTAAAGAGATAAAGCCTGCTTCGATGCGAGACGCGTAGACAGCACTCATTTTCGTTTATTCTAACAAAATCATTTATTCTAATACAATTCAAGCAACAATGGGTACTTTGCTTATAATGCATGCAGCACAAAGATGACACCTATCGGCGAAAACAAAAATTCAGAGTATATCTTTACTCGACTGTGGGTAAGCCTTGTTGCGCTCTTACTAGATATATTGTAGAGATAAGTATGCCTCGGAGGTGCCAGTCTATTATAGACGCAGCTGGTGACTAGACTTCTTATTAATATAATTGCATTTTTGCCATAATTCTACTGAATATAATCAATATAAATTTAAGGATAATAAGCCATTTTTCTTTGAGATAGGCCTGCCACGCTCTTACTAGACAGACTGTAAATTCACACGCAATTGTAGAAGCACCCAAGATCCATCTTGACCAATACGGCTTGTTTCTCATATCATTGTTTTAATTCTCACAGTCTTATAATTTAATATTGCTTAATAGTAAGATATGATATATGTTTATTCCTTTATGTCTGAATATATAATAGTTTGGATCAAAAACAGTCGTAAATATGTCTATGCTTAGTAAGACAAATTCAGAGATTGAATCTGATCCAATATTAACAGAAGTAGCTACCATTCCAGAAGATATAACTGCTTTTTATGATAAGATTGACAAGGAGGATGAAGATGAAGAAGATCAAGAATTGAAAACAGTTAGTTTTGAAGTGAATCAGGTATATATCTGTTTTATTTTACATTTATACAAGCTGAGGCATTTAAAACATGTCACATGAATAACTTGCTTATTTTTAACAATAGCAGAAAAAGTATCAAACAAAAGTTGCTTGGTTTCGAGGAACACATAATGTGATGTCAATAATTGTTTTGTAGGTGAAGGCATAAAAGGATAGGTAAAGGTCAAATCTGTTTTTTTAAATGGAATGATGTTTTTTTATTTACATTCTGATAGAGCATTTTAAGTCAAATATAGTGACCTATAATTGAAGGTCATTCAAGGTTATGCAAGGTCAATAATGGAAAATATAATAATTGAATTATCTTCAATTATAGGTCAGTATGTAAAATGCTCTATCAGAATGTAAATAAAAAAAACATATCATTCCATTAAAAAAAACAGATTTGTCTATCCTTTATGCCTCCACCTACAAAACAATTATTAACATCACATTATGTGTTCCTCGAAACCAAGCAACTTTTGTTTGATATTTTTCCTTCTATTGTTAAAAACAAGCGAGTTATTCAGGTTACCTGTTTTAAATGCCTTATCGTGTATAAAGTATGATGTAATGTATTTATATTAATATTGTATTATTATGAAGGAGAAAATTGAAGTTATACAAAAACGATGCATTGAGTTGGAGCATCCTTTATTGGCAGAATATGATTTTCGCAATGATAGTGTAAATCCTGATATAAAGTAAGTAAACCGATAAAATTTTATTTTGAAAAGTGTTTCTTATTTCAATAAGTATATATAAATTAAAATAAACATCTAATATTTTATTAGTATCGACTTAAAGCCATCAGCTGTATTAAGACCTTATCAAGAAAAAAGTTTAAGGAAAATGTTTGGAAATGGACGAGCTAGATCCGGAGTAATAGTCTTACCTTGTGGTAAGTGCATATGATAAAATCCAATTATTTCAATTATAATGTAGATAGAAGAATTATGGCAGTATATCTGTAAACGATTTTGGATCTTCTTAAATGTAGGCGCTGGTAAAAGTTTAGTTGGAGTAACAGCTTGCTGTACAGTACGTAAACGTGCCCTAGTGCTATGTAATTCCGGTGTATCCGTAGAACAATGGAAGCAGCAATTTAAAATGTGGTCTACTGCTGATGATTCAATGATTTGTCGTTTCACCAGCGAAGTAAAGGATAAACCTATGGGTTGTGGAATATTAATAACTACGTATTCCATGATCACACATACTCAGAAACGTTCGTGGGAAGCTGAACAAACGATGCGTTGGCTTCAAGAACAAGAATGGGGTATTATGGTCTTGGATGGTAAAGTTTATTATACTAATTATTTAGTAAAGTGATATTTCTTTCTATATAATAAATATAATTTTTATTTAGAGGTGCATACTATTCCTGCAAAAATGTTCCGTAGAGTGTTAACAATTGTTCAGTCTCATTGCAAGTTAGGTTTAACAGCTACACTCTTACGAGAGGATGACAAAATTGCCGATCTGAATTTTTTAATTGGTCCTAAATTATATGAGGCTAACTGGTTGGAATTGCAAAAAAAGGGATTTATTGCAAGAGTACAATGTGCAGAAGTTTGGTGTCCTATGACATCAGAATTTTATAAGGAGTATCTTGTTTGCAAAATGAGTCGAAAACTGGTTAAATCTTATTATATCTTCATAATTTATAACTTTAATTTATATTGTATCTCTGCATATTACATTTTTTATAATTTCAGTTATTATATGTGATGAATCCAAATAAATTTCGTTGTTGCCAATATTTAATCCAATATCATGAAAAACGTGGCGATAAAACAATTGTTTTCTCTGACAATGTGTTTGCACTGAGACATTATGCTATTAAAATGAATAAACCATATATTTATGGTCCTACTAGTCAGGTAAACATTAATTTAATTAATTAAATTAAATTAATCGTATATAATAATGTGATACACAACAATGATTTTCGAGTACGTTTATACTCGAAATTATAAATTTTGAATATCTAGTTCTAATTTTTTAAGCAATAATAAATAAAAGATAGGTCAGTAAAAAGCATTTGATTACAGATCACAAATTCGAAATAATTTATTAATTCTTAAATATAAAATAATGTATACAAAAATAGGGCAAAGAGCCAGTAAAGAGACAGAGAAGTGAGTAACTAAATTTAATTTAAATAATTATAAAACATTTAAAGTAACAAAGAAATTTAATTTAAGTAATTACAAAACATACGTTTCGATTTCGATCGGGTCTCTCATTCTCAATGTTACAGTTAATATAATATAGACATCGTTGTACAGTGAATAACTTACAAAAAACATTATAAATATTGCTTCTACAGAAAATTACAAATATCGTTATGCTTCTATAAATTGATTTCGAATAAAAGAAAATAAATTAAAATAATTATGATTACGACGCATCGTTTCATCCATGTATATAAAAATAATAAAGGTTAATAAGGCTCTGTGAGTATAAAACAATGTATACAAAAATAGGGCAAAGAGCCACTAAAGTAACAAAATTCACAAACTCGTATTTGGACCGTGAAATTTCAAATACCGATGAGAATAAGCTATCTACGGTCAAGCTGGATATTAAATGCTTTTATTATAATTTTCGTGTGAATTTATATACTACGTATGTAGATCTCTAAATGCGCGCCGAAATTTTTTCAGACTTACAACGCAAACCAATGAACTACCACAGTACTATTACGAGTTAAATTAACAATTTTTTAAAGCTCATTGCATCTTGGATCTTAATAATACGTTGAATGACATATTAAAGTCTATGAATAACATATTAAAAATCTGCAAATAATTTAAATATATTGCGAAGAATATTACCTTTGCCGGGAGTCGTTTGCTTAACGCGCAAGTGTCCTAGCCAATTAGACTACCGAGGCCTTAATAATATTCCTCGCAATAATCGTATATGTAGGAACCAATGTCTTTGCAGAGGGGTGACGAAAACAAACAAACTCTTATTTAGACTGTGAAATTTCAAATACCGATGAGAATAAGCTATCTACGGTCAAGCTAGATATTGAATGTTTCTATTATAATTTTCGTGTAAATTTGTTTTTATAACAAATTCAATTTAAATAATTATAAAACATTTAAATATCTTAAATATAAATTAATGGATAACGTTTCTACTTAACTTAGTTAGTCTTTATCAGCCACAAAAAAAATTATATTGAAAAAGACAATAAGAAATTATTCAAAGAGACCACAAGAGACAAGCTGGACAAATTATATATTAGGTTAAATTATTACGAGGTGTGACATTCAAGTCCAAATAAGATATAATAAATACTATTTTTTCATTTGAAAGCGAAAAAAAAGTAAAGTCAAGTTGATAAAATTCTTTATATAAGTCATAGTGGTAAGATGTGTTCATAAGTTAGTCGTTCGTATTGAAAGAATGAGATATTCTTTGTCAGATAGTGTAAATAGATCCAGAAATAATGTTTTGTAAAGAAATATACACTATCTAATAAAGAATATTATATCTCTTTCTTTCAATATGAACGATTAACTTAAGGACACATCTTACCAATATGACTTATACAAAAAATTTTATCAACTTGATTTTACTTTTTTCTTGCTTCCAAACGAAGAAATAGTATTTATTAGGTCAATCGGAAAGTTCCGTCCATATAGCGGCGAGTATCTATAGCAGCAACTGTCGATAACTCTAATGTCTAAATCAAGCTTAATTTCTTATTTTTACTATGTATTTGTCAATAAAATTCAGTATATAAAGGTATACGTTTGCATCAATGACATTGTTTCTTACTACATCCAAAATGTCGAAATTTGAGCCAAATGGACGACATTACGCGAAGTGTTAATCTTTTGCTTCAAATGGAAGAAAACTGCAGCTGAAGCTCATCGAATGCTTGTAGAAGTTTATGGTGATAGTGCTCTTTCCGATAAAACATGTAGAGAATGGTTTCAATGCTTTCAAAATGGTAATTTTGATGTAGGGGACAAAGAGCGTTCTGGACGACCAAGAGTACTTGAAGACAAAGAATTACAGGCATTGGTGGATGAAGACCCATGTCAAACGCAAAAACAACTTGTAGAAACATTAAATTGTGCTCAATCTGTTATTTCCGATCGTTTAAAAGCCACCTGTTAATTCTATTCGCTAGGCAACAAAGAAAGGGATTTTTGCATCGAATTGTGACTGGCGATGAAAAGTAGATATATTTCGATAACCTCAAACGCCGAAAAATCATTTGCGATCCAAGCCAATCATCGACGCTGAAACGTAATATTTATGGGAAGAAGGCCACGTTCTGTATTTGGTGGGACCAGAAGGGTGTAGTGTACTATCAGCTGTTGAAATCTGGTCAAACAGTCACAGAGAATCTCTACCGAGAACAAATAATCCATTTGAGCCCAGCATTGTGCGAATACGAATAATTTCTTTGAATGATTTCTTATTGTCTTGTTCAATGTAATTTTTTTTCGTGGCTGTTAAAGACTAAGTTAAGTCAAAACGTTCTCCATTAATTTATATTTAAGAATTAATAAATTATTTTATATTTGTGATTTGTAAGCATATACTCTTTACTGACCTATTTTCTTTTTGTTAATGCGAAATTATGCTTCGTAACCATTCTTCATAATGATTGATGTTTTTTTTTCATTTTTAGAGTGAAAGGATACAAATCTTGCAAAATTTTAAATTTAACATGAAAGTGAATACAATATTTGTCAGTAAAGTAGCTGATACTTCTTTTGATTTACCAGAAGCTAATGTCTTGATTCAAATTTCATCTCATGGTGGATCTAGAAGACAAGAAGCACAACGATTAGGACGCATTCTTAGGGCTAAAAAAGGTATAATTTATTTCATATACTATACTTTAGAGAGACAAGTTTATGTTATTAAAATTTTCATCAATTAGGTGCAATTGCGGAAGAATATAACGCATTCTTTTACACGCTTGTATCACAAGATACGATGGAAATGAATTACTCCCGAAAACGTCAACGATTTCTCGTGAATCAAGGATACGCGTACAAAGTTATCACAAAACTTGCAGGCATGCATGAGGTAATGACATTTTTCTCTTTTCATTTTTATGCACATTATATGATCATATCTTAAAATTGGCGTGTCACGCTTTTTTGAAGCCTCTATTCGTTGAGGCTGTTGGAATTTTTTGATTTTGATGTGGTTTCGTATTCGGGGATTTTCGGGGTCGATTATTTCGAATCTGTATTCAAAAATTGAAAATTCGAAATAGTGGATCCAATATGGCGGACGTAAAATTAACGTAAATCCTAAAGATTGTTCGATTTTGGTGAAATTAGATATATTGGTGATTTAGGGGGTGTTCGTTACGAATCCGTTCTCAAAAATTGAAAGTTCGAAATAGTTGATCCAATATGACGGACGGAAAAGTAACGGAAATCATAAAGATTGTTCGATTTTGGTGAAATTAGGTTTATTGGTGATTTAGGGGGTGTTCGTTACGAATCCTTACTCAAAAATTGAAAGATTGAAATAGCTGATTTAATATGGCGGACGGAAATGTTACGGAAATCCTAAAGATTTTTCAATTTTGGTGAAATTTGGTATATTGGTGATTTAGGGGGCGTTCGATACGAATCTTTATTCAAAAATTGAAAGTTTGAAATAGTTGATACAATATGGCAGACGGAAATGTTACGGAAATCCTTAAGATTCTTCGATTTTGTTGAAATTTGGTTACAGGTGGTTTTTGAGGACGTTCGTTACGAATCCATATTTAAAAATTGAAAGTTCAAAATGGCGTTTCGATTCAGTTTTCTAAAATCTGTTTTCGTTAATCTGGCGGATGGAATATAAGGGGGATTTTGGTTTTAGTGTTTTTGCAGTAGAATTTAAATTAGCAAAAAAAAAGCCCTCTAAAGAATATGTACTTGATTTTTCATTTGCTGCTATTTTTTTTGTGGCTGTGCCAACTTTAGTCTTAAGTCAGCACAGCCACACTGTGGATCGAATCCTTCGACGTAAACAATGAGCAAAAAAATCGGATTCTGGATGTTCTTAGAGCAAATAATTCTAGAAACATTTTGAGACCAAAATGATCCCGGCAATTGATTGCTTTAATATTACACGGTTAGTGAAAATAATCTTAGGGATTGTTTTGATGTGGAAGGGCGAATGCGCGCGAGTTTCATATCCCCTCCCTCACCCGGCTCACCGATAAACCGAGCAGTCATCTTTTAACCCTTTAACGCCCAAATGTAGAAATTTTCTTCATGAAGTTTGACACAATATTTTAGTATTAAAACTGTGTAGGAAAAATTCTGTGATAGCCATTTCTTATTGGCCAAGGACCGCTCTTTCCATTGGTGCATGCCAAAATTGTTTAAAGTTTCAAATAAAAAAGTTATACCCTTTTTTTTAAAAAAAGAACATGAATTTTCTTGGTTTTATTTTCAATTAATTGAATTTTATTATGGGTAATGGCATTAGAATATCTCTAAAAGTCGCAAATATCGTGTCAAAAATGAATTTGCTATCAGATACGGGTGTTCCGAAAAAAAAATTCAAGATGGCGGACACAAAATGGTGATAAAAGTGAATATTTTATGTAATATCACAGCCATGCCTACAAAATGGAAAAAAATTAATAGATTTTTATAAAACTTGGTATCCTAGCATTTTTGAGGTCGCTGATCACGAATCTGGAGTCAGTTTTCAAAAACTCAAAATGGCGGATCCAATATGGCAGATGACATTTTTTTAAATGAATCAAATTCACTTGAAACTTGTTGCTTGGGAGTTTTTGGGGTCGCTGATCACGAATCTGACGTCAGTATTAAAAAATTCGGTAAATATTTCGAATTACACAGTCAGCCTCAAATGACTTCCGAGTGATCTTGACCGTGACCCTCAAGAAGGTCAAGGTCATTGACCATTCCCGTCGCTCGTCCTTCGTTAAAAAGTTATTAACAATCATAGTTTTAAAATAAACGCATTATTTCTGCTATACATGTATGATATAAAGTACTATTCTACACCTGTCCCTGTTCAGAAACGTTGAACTTTCCACGCGAAGTAACTTTTACCCCCACCCCCCTGCACAGGGGCATACGACTTTTACGATTGTACTGTTGCTATGATAGTACTGTCGGGGCAGACCTCCGTGTAAAATATCAAGTAATAGACAAGTAATATCAAGTAATATCAAGTGATAGTAAAATATCAAGTAATCGTTATATAACGAATGGAACACACACACGCATACGCTAACGCTAACGCCGGCGGTATCATCGAAAACTACCAATATTGATATCACCTTAAAAAATGCCTCTTTCATGTTATTATAAAAGTAACAACAGATCCATATTGGGTCCACCATCTTGAATTTTTGATAACACTAATAGCAGATGCGTAATCAACAACATCATAACTCCCAATAATCAATTCTAAAAATTGAATCCCACTACAAAAAAATGCATACAGAAAGGCTTTGGAAATTCATGCATTTTACATATACATAAACGCAATAACCGTCATATTCAGGATGCCACAGCAAAAAAAACTGTCCATTTTCAAGGCTTCGGCCTATGAAGACTTTTGATCGGCATGACTAAAACTATAAAATAGCACAGTTTCAGGGCATTTGACCGAAACCCATTTTCCATAAGATTCTTGCGGGGTCCTTTATACTAGACCGTACAATAAAAAATAATTGCTTGTAATTTCAGAGTATCAATTTGTTAATGACTCAAAAAAGAACATGGCGGCCTGCTCTCAAACTTTAATAAGTTTATCGATGTCTACTTAGAAGTAATGTCGAAACTTTTACAGAGTATGTATAACAACACATGAAATACAAAAAATATTGTATTAGAACCGTATCTTTAAAAGCTCTATAACGAAGTGAATATATAAAATAATGTAGAAATGTAGTCTTTTTCTTCTTTGATTTTCAATTCCGCCAATCAATGTCCAGGTTAATGCGAATATTTAAATTAATCATTATCGAAACACTATTATATTTTGTACTTGCACTTTTTTTGTGAACCAACTGACAAACAACATACTTGATAATATAACAAATCATGAAATACAAAAAATATTGTATTAGAACCGTATCTTTAAAAGCTCTATAACGAAGTGAATATACAAAATAATGTAGAAATGTAGTCTTTTTCTTCTTTGATTTTCAATTCTGCCAATCAATGTTCAGGTTAATGCGAATACTTAAATTAATCATTATCGAAACACTGTTTACATTTTGTACTTGCACTTTGTGAACCAACTGATAAACAAGATACTTGATAACTATGATAGTTATACTTGATAGGCTGCTTTTAATCTAAACCATTTTCATAACTTTTACTTCAACTATTTGTTTCATCCATCGGAAGTTTTTTGAGAGCAGGCCGCCATGTTCTTTTTTGAGTCATTAACAAATTGATACTCTGAAATTACAAGCAATTATTTTTTATTGTACGGTCTAGTATAAATTTCAAATTAAATCACAATAACCGACTTTTATATTTTGTGCACTAATTGTAAGAATAACATATTACAGTTATTTTCTAGAATACTGTAATATGCAAATTGTAATCTGTTTTACTTATTATGTTCATTTTAAATTTGCACCTTGAATAATTTATCAGTTACTTTTCGTAATACATATTCAACATAGAAAATATGTTATGTATGTTCACTTTGAACTGGCACATTTAGTAATATATCAGTTACTTTTCGTGGTAATATATTATATTAGATAATATCATTTAAAGTGTTAAAGATTTAAATTATTAGGGATCTTTTTTTGATTAGATGAACATTTAAAGATTTAAATCTTTGAGAGGATTTGTTTTTGAACATGCCTTGATCTTATCATTTTTATGATAAAATTTATTCGAAATGAATAATAAGACGTTTCGACCTTTGGTTCAGGTCCTCTTTAGTACAAAGAAAATGGATTAAATATAAAAGGGTAAAAGTGCATAAAAAGGGAGACCAGCGTTATGATCTTGACCTTAATATATGTTGTCAAAGTCATGACCCTGAATGACCTTCACCAAGTTTTAGCCGTCGCTCGTCCTTCGTTAAAAAGTTATTAACAATCATAGTTTTAAAATTAACGTATGCTATACACGTATGATATTAAGTACCATTCTACACCTTTCCCTGTTTAGGAACGTTAAACTTTCCACGCGAAGTAACTTTCAGTCCCCTTCCCCCCCTGCCAAGGTGCACACGATTTCCATGATTGTACTGTTGGGGGAGACCTCTACCGACGGGGCGGATGCGGGAGGGGGGCGAATAAAAAACGGTGTTACAATAATCAGTAATATTATTGATTATTGTAACATCGTTTTTTATCACAACAATGACTAACAAATTTTAAATAATGGACAAACAAATTTTATCCGACGATTTCGACGATTGACTACAATTTTTTAAGTATCCGGACAGATCGCATAATGTTTAAGAATTTTGTATTGTAATAATTTCGTTAATATTTGAAAATTTGTTAATATTGAAAATGACCCGATCGGCGTCGAAACGTTTGTTTTACTTATGTTTTATTATTTATCTTTAATTTATTGTCTTTGTTTCTTTGTAAATGTATTGTTTTTATTTGGCTCGTTGCTCGTTATACTAATTTAATTTTTATTTATACAAATATATTCTAAGTCTTTTTGATTTCTTTCTTGATAATTTTTAGTAAACTTAACAATTTGATGATCACAAGATTTGATTTCATTTCGGACATTACCACCATCGTATTTTGTACTTTACACTTAAATAATTTATATTTTGTATGCGCTACCATTATGTATATAACTTTTATATTTAATCAATTTTCTTTATACTGAAGAGGACCTCAAAGGTCAAAATTGTATATATTTTATTTTTCTTCACCCGTGCACGTAATGTGCCCTACACACCTTAACGCTTTTGCGTGCGGTAAATAGCCAATACCTGAAGCCGTTAAGTTATTTCTCTAATCCCACTCTTCTGCGCAAAAACGTTGTTGTATAGGGCACATGTAAAGACGAGCACTTGTAAAGAAAAATTCTATGTGTCGCGAGTGG